TCGGTTGGCTTCTCCAGAACTTTCAACTAACTGTACAGATGCAGTTGTTTAAATACGACCCTAAATCGAAGTAAATTTCAATTTTTTGCATCTACTTTTTTGCCGAAATGAAACGTGCGGTTTGTGTATTTTTCAGTGGGATTTGAAAAGCGGTGTTTCCGTTCTATATTTAATGTTTTAAATAGTGTTTGAGTTCCTTTTTTAATGTTTTGATTTAGGTGATTACGCTTCACCAAATAATCCGTTCCATTCTTTACGAGCGCCAAGATTATCCTTCTATTCTATGACCGTTATGTTCCCTAGGTTCCATACCTCCCCCGCTCGCATCGGCTAATCGAGGCCTGCCACTCAGGATGATGATGACGACCTCGGGTCACGGGACTGGTGGCAGCAGTTCGCCCGATTCGGCCGATTTCGGTCGTGCCGGCACACCCGAGTTGGGTGATGAACTGGGCGAATTAGTACCGATTCTCGATTCGGTCCATATGACTCCTCATAAGGTGAGTTGAATACGACTCTCTTCCATCCGTGGCTATCGTAGTGTTGGTGTTGTGCTCCGGACCGTAGGTAGTTTGAATAAACCGGCATGCATGTTCACAAAAAGATCATCGGTATTTTGATGTGTTCTCTCAGCTGGAAGTGTTGTTCGCAGACGTTTCGTAACCAGGCTAGACAACATCATCATCATCAGTGCAACTTCGAAGACGCGCCAGTCCTCGGATTTGCACGGATGAGTTTGCCTAGCCTGGCTCACGAAACATCTGCGAACAACACTGCCAGCTCTCGGAGAATCAACCAAGAACAATATCCGCACCCCGAGCTACGATCATTCCACCTTACTATATCCAGGTCATGGATATGGGCAGGTAGTGGTGGCGCATTGGTTTAGTCGCTGTCACCGACGTGCTTTGAACCTTATGGTTCGAAGTTCGAGCCCCGACTTTGGTGGTAGGCAGCTCTGTTGTCGCCCGGTTCAATACCACGCCTAACCTAGTGCAGTGTTTTTGTTTCATCAGTTCGTCCATGACTATGTTCTACTGCTGACTTTGCTGTCCCCAGTTTCTCGTTGTTGGCTTTACTGTGGGGATCTGTAAGCAACGTGTTGGCTTGTGTCTGTTGAACAGTCATGTGCTGCTGTCATTGTTTTTATTTTAACACGGAACCAACTACACAGAACTGGCAAATGTGCAACAACATATAAACAAAAAATCTGTAGGATGTATGTTAACAGATTGTGTGGGTATGTTACTTCTCGGTTGCCTTGGCCGAGGAAGAGGGATCCCTTGGGGTTCATATCCGAAGCTTTTGGCTATCAGGCTAGACCTGCAAGACAACAGGATGCAGTCCAACGTCCAAGGTGACCCATAAATTCTAATGCCCAATCGTGCCGGTGACCACTGCCATAACCACGAAGATGTGGGTTGGTTTGGAATCAGGGTTCTTATCCAAATCTCCTAGGTGAACTACCACTGATCCACCAAGCTGATTATAGCCCCAGATGTCAGTTTTTCGTCCTCTCACTTTGGTTGGAAAGTACCTCTGCTCCCCACGAGAAGGCAGCGAGAAAGGCTTCCTCAGCAAAGGCTATTCGTGACACTTGGTCATCGGGGGACCATTTCGGGAGGTGTAGGGGAAGAGTGACCAGTCACAACCCAGAACACCTACCCCGATCACCGACTGAGGTTTTCGGTGGCTGGTGGTGGTAGCGACCGATCAGCAATTTAAATCACTGATATCCCTGATATAATCCTTCGTAATTTTTAATTCTCAACCTTCAGACCGTCATTCACTCTTGAAGGTAGATGGCTTCCCTGTGAAGGTTCGGCTCACGAGATCACGCCCATCCTATTTGGGCTGTGTTGTTGTGTTTCGTTGAATTACTGGTGCGTACAACGGAACAATGCGCATTCACGATCTTAGGTTTCTCTCTCCCCCCCCACACACACTGTTCATCATTCATTAGTGCGTGTGTGTGTACGCTTGAAAACTGTTTCCTTCGGTTGCGTAGTGCTACCAAACGGTTGGTCCGTTACGTAACGCAGAATGTTGACACAACGCTAGAACTGCAGGTGACTTCGCCATCCTCGAACATCCGATGCGATCCGCATTTATTCATTAGCTTGGCGATCAATTGTACACTTCAATCGTGTCGGAGTGCCATGCAAGTCCCAGAACAATCATCTTTATAACAAAGAAAATAACTCCAGGCGCCATAGTACCAGGTTACCCAGGCCAATACAGGTGAATCGACTGGGAAAATTCATATATATATATATATATATATTTACCACCGGCTTGAAAACAAGCATGGTGCCAACGCAACAACAATGA